ATGGGAGCCGTCGACTTGTACAAGAAATAAAATGTGAAAAATGTAGAGAATATAGTCGTCTACGATGGAATTTTTAGTTTTTTTCTTTGCAGAAAGATGGTGAACGAAAGAACAATGATGAAGATCGTTCGCAGATGGGGACGCTATACAACGAAAAATTTCTCGCGAATCCAGCGGAGTCAAATAAGATTGACACCGTCGATAATCTTGCTCGAACTCACCAAGTACACACTCCTGTTGAAAGGACTAAACAATCTTCAACGTCTCCTGAAGGTGCAAGGCCACAGGATGGAGCAATAGAACCGGTTCGTTAGCTGATATCCATTGACTTCAGACGTGCCATGATTGAAAGTTGTTGTAATGGAATATGTGTGCGAATGTCTATGCTCCCTAAGATTTAGCAACTCTCATAGCTCATATTGGGAGGCGAGGGAGGATTCAAGAGAGTGAGAAATGGTAGGGGGCTTATTCTCCGTAGGAACTATCATTACAGACAAGCAGGTGGCCATGCCCATTACTACCTCTTCACTTTACTTCTGAAATCCTGGCTCTGCCTCTTCCGAGAAACCGTTTGATGCTTAAAAGTGTTTGATACTAACTGGATTCGCTACTTTTTTAAGCCGTCACTTTGATAGCAAATGATTGCTCATTGGGTTTCGCTACCTAAGAGACATTGCTCAAACACTTGTAGTGGTTTAAAATGTGAACGGCCTCTCTATCGTCCTACTCTGATCTGCGTTTCTAAATGGCCAAGCTTGATCTTATTGATAGCTGATTGGTTGCGCTTGAATGCAATTTTAGTTCCGTTGTTGTTGAAGTTGTCCTTTGGGCAATATTGAGCAGGACAAATGGTGAAGTTTAAGGCTCCTAATAGTTGGTGGCTTATCCAAGGAGCCAAAATCCAGAAGGGTTAGCCGAGCGGCTAGTGATTTTCGCTACCAAAAGCCACATTTCGGTGGGATCACGAATTCTTCTGTAGATCATAGTTCTTGCCTAAACGCTAAGCTGTCTTTTCCTTGGAAAGATAGTATCCTAGAACTTAGTCCGAATAGCCACAATTGGAAATCCTCACCGGTGATCGTGAACTACAGATCTTCAGAAAAGATGGCAGTGGATATAACCTTTTTACAGGAAACGATACGAAATGGCAGAAAATCGCACTCGGAGATGGGCTTCTTTACAATGTATAAGAAGCAATAGAAATGGTGTTGGTGCAGTTTTCCTTGAAACCCTAAGGCGCCAATAGCAACGCACAATAAATGAGCGTGACCATTATGAGCCCACAGATCTACAGTGAGAAGAGCATCCTTCGGATTGTTACCGTTTATGCACTACAAGTTGGATAAGAGGAATAAGAGCATGCCGTGGCAAGAGCACGACAATCATATGAGATTAGTATAATGAAACGACATACTCTTGCTTGGAGGAGGCCTCAACGGGATGTTGCAGAAAAGAGGAAAGTGTTATGTGAACCACGGATATGGAACATGCAATGAAAAGAGCGTACGTATTCTTGATTTTGCTACAGTTTACGACCTGATGTTAGCGAACATCCTACATCGAAAAGATTGATTAAATCATAATATTCTGGGGACCGAAAAACAAGTAGGTCTCTGGGCGGTTCAGCAAAGAGCTTGAGAATGTAATACCTGCAGACTTCTCAAGGGTGAAAGCTGTGCACTTCAACACAAGCCCCGACTTTTCGACTTTAAAGTGACTTAATTAGAAAAAATTGATGAACTTACAGCGCGCTGGTGGAAATTGAAGGACAATATTAAGAACCACTAGTAACGACTCTACCGCAGATATGAGGAAGACTAGGGCAGTCTTGGTCAGCCCTGAAAACCAAAGTCCACCAAATGAAATTTTCTGAATCCCATAAAGCCAGGACGATCAAGAATAGATGAGGGTAGTTGCGGCATGAAGTGCAGGAAGTGATT